AAGGTCCTTACTCGACATCAAGTGCGCTGGTCTGAATTCCTCTCTCAATTCAACCTTGTTATTCGGTTCCGACCGGGTAAACTTGGTGGGAAACCGGATGCCCTCACTAGACGATGGGACGTCTACCCTAAAGAGGGGGATAGTCAATATGCTCAAGTCAATCCTCACAATTTCCGACCCGTTTTCACTCAAGAACAACTCTCTGCTTCACTCCGCGCTACATTCCATGAAGGTCCTGTCTTACATGCTAGTGCTATCATGGACATCGACAAGCTCCACTCTGATATCAAGAATGCACAGCCGTTGGATTCCGCTGCCACCAAAGGTTTCCGACTCGCATCTTCCCCTTCCAACTCCTCTCGGTGGTCCATGGATGAATCAGGACTACTACATCTTGACAGTAGCATTTATGTCCCGGACTCCAATGATCTCTGTCTTCGCGTTCTCCAAAACAATCATGACCACATCTTGGCAGGTCATTTTGGTCAAAATAGGACTCTTGAACTCGTCCGATGGAATTACACCTGGCCACAGATGCGTGAATATGTTCGCCACTACATGAAATCTTGCACTACCTGTGGACGTAACAAAACACCTAGACACCGCCCTTTTGGCTTACTCAAACCATTGCCAGTCCCAGAACACCCGTGGGATTCCATCTCCATGGACTTCATTGAACAATTACCGGATTCCAACGGATTCACTGCTATCCTTGTAGTGGTCGACCGTGCAAGTAAGCAAGCAATTTTCATTCCTACCCACAATACCATCAACTCCGAAGAGCTCGCTCAGTTATTCGTTAACCATGTGTTCACAAAACATGGCATCCCCAATCATATAACCTCTGACTGCAGCTCCGAATTTGTCTCCCAGTTCACTCGTGCTCTTGCCAAAGCCTTGGATATGGAGCTTCACTTCACTTCCGGATATCACCCGGAGGCCGACAGACAAACTGAACATGCTAACCAAACTCTGGAACAGTACATCCGCATCTACTGCTCCTATCAACAAGACAATTGGGATACCTTACTACCCATTGCCGAGTTTGCTTACAACAATGCTCCCAACACTTCCACCGGAATCTCTCCATTCTTTGCTAACAAAGGCTATCATCCCAATATCACCGTACATTCTGAACACGACATCACCTCCGCTTGGGCCCGTGACTTCACCGTTAACCTCGATGAGCTCCACCAATTCCTTCAAGATGAAATCACTTATGCTCAGTCCCATTACAAACTACAAGCGGACAAGTGGCAGTCCCCGGCTCCTGACTTCAAAGTAGGTGACAAAGTCTACCTCAGTTCCAAACATATCAGAACTACTCGCCCTACTGCAAAATTTGCCGAAAAATTCCTAGGACCATTTGATATCATTGCTCAGCCAGGATCCCATTCCTTCACTCTCAAACTCCTGTCGGACCTCCGCTCCATTCACCCTGTGTTCCATGTCTCCCAACTTGAACCCGTGGAGACCAATACTATCCCTAACCATACCCAATCTCCACCACCTCCAGTTGAAGTCGACGGTGAAGAACAGTATGAAATCTCTCAAATCCTCGACTCTAAACTCGACCGTCATTTCCGCTGTCCACTCCTATACCGAGTCCAATGGTTGGGTTATGAAGGTACCGATGAAGAGTTTGCCTGGATCCCCACTACAGAATTCTCCGTGGACGAATATATCAAAGACTTCCACCAACGTTACCCAGACAAACCAGGACCACTATCCAAAGTCACCATCCGCAAAGTCTCCCTCAAACCCTCACCCATTGCTTCTTGACCTACATTTATGCCCATCAGGGCCTGCGCTTCAAAATCTGTGTACAAGACAACATCCAAAAAATATATACAAGTCCAAGAACCACGCCTAGGATTCCGCATGCACCAACTCTCCCATCATCACATCCTCATCCACCCTATCTTCCCTTCCACTTCCTTCCTCCTCCTCATCACTCATAACAATAAGCTCCAGCTTATCCAGTGCCGGAACACCAATGGCACCCGCGCCCGGGCACATCTCATCCCTCTTCTTCTCCTCGGGATCCAACTCCCCTTCAGAATCCTCTACCAAAAACTCATCCGCATCCTCCAAATACCTCTTCCACAATGCCCACTCAATCCGACGGCCTCCAAGCGCATAGAACTTGTCCCTTGTGTCCAAGAAATGGTCGCGACATTTGATGGCCAATCGAAGACCGTCTTTCCCAAGGCAGCTGTACCAAACTTGCATGTTGGCGACCTCGAAGGGATCTGCGGCATCGAGAGTTTTGGTACCCATCACGTGAGCATTCCACAACTGGGCAACGTCCTTGTCAAGTCACATATGCATTGCGATCCGTAGGGCCTCTGAGTTCACGTTCTTGAGGTTTCCGAGCTCGACCTTAGATGCTGCCCATTCCTCCCTAAACTCCTCCTTGACGAAATCTGACGGCCATTCCGGAGCATCACCCTCATGAAAATCATCGACCAAGTCATCGACGTGGCTTCCGAGAAAATCCACCTTTCCCTCTACCCTCTCCAAGCCTTCCTGGAAATCATCCATCTTGTCACAGAGTTTTTGTAGGAGGTCGATGACCTCACTGGACCCCATGGATCCTGAACTTTCACCTTGTGGAAACACACACTTGTTCTTCTTTAATTTGCACCGTTCGCAAGTACGCCCGCGGCGAATGAAACATCTTACGTTGTCTGTCTTACAACGTCCACAACGCTCTATACAGAGCAAGTCAGCATAAGCGACGGGACCCTATGGAAGTCACTTACCGTTACCCTTATATTCTTCGTCGTCTGCCTGCATCTCAGGCTCGGTCTTCAATTTCTTCAAAGGCCTTCCCGACAGCCCCGTGACTTCCTCTTCCCCACTGACCACCACCGCACTAGACTTGATCTTACGCTTCCTCGAAACATCTGCGGCCTCCGAATCGGTCGCCTTGCCCTTACCCTTCCTATCCTTCCTCTGCTTTACCAATTTTCTCAACGCCTTCTCCTTCAGGGCCTTCTTCCGCTTGTCATCTCCATCGGACCCGCTACCAACCTTGCTCCCCTCATTCCCATCTTCCTTCTCCTTCTCTGCCTCCGCAGCCTTGCTAGCTTCCACCAAAGCCTTGGCCTTGGCCTCACCTTCTAACTTCTCTGTGGCCCTCCTTTCCTCCAAGGCCCTGGCCTCCTCTTCCAACCTCTGCTGCTCCGTGGCGGCTGCCTCTGCCTCCTCTTGCCATTTCTTCTCCACGGCCTCCCACTCCTCCCTCTCCCTCCTTGCTTTGGCCTCTGCAACCTTCCTCTCCTGCCCCAATTTTTTCTCTCACCATTCCAACTCCAGAGCCCGCCTCTTTTCCTCCTTTTGTTTCTGCACTTTTCAGGCCTCATGAGCCTCTGCGGCATCCTTCCTAGCTTTCTCTGTGGCGTCCCACTCGTCATAAAAGGCTTCCAGGTCTTCAGGCTGAATATCTTCAGGTGTCGGGGCAGGCTCGTACAGTTCAGGTGTCATGGAAACACGGTACTCGATGGTTGATGACATGACGAACGATGAGGATGAAATTCAGAAAATAGAGGAGATGGTGGTGGTAGAAAGCTAAGAGGTGAAAAGCCACTTGACCAACCTGAAAAAATTCCACGCGGTCACACCCAGCCATCAGGATCTGCATCCTTGAGGGCAAGAACGCTAAGGGGGGATACTGTAATGAGCATGCCAACGGAAACCCAACCTCCACTCAATCCAACAAACCACAGCCCGGAATCCTACAGATTCCAATTCCCAGTTTCTATTTCATATTCCATTTCATATTCCTTTTTATATTTCACTTCTCCATTACAATTTATCAATAGCCGACATCAGTAGCAAACATGTCATCGGACCCCATCAGCTACCGACCAGTAGATTACATCCTCCAAGAACCCTAGAATGTAGACCACTCCGAGTAGGAACTAGATTGGACTCCTAACTAGTATATAAGCCTTAGAATTACACTGTAGATACTCAGTTCGAATATTAACTTGGTTCAGCCCAATCTCTCTCTCTCTGACTCTAAGTCTAACTCTCGTTCTCCAGTCCGTGGAACTCCGATCTGTTGGACTTATCTCTTACCTCGTCTCTGCCACTCTGTGGACTTCTGTCCGTATCTATCATAGGGCTTCGGCTCAGGGGTGACGTTGCTAATAGCTTCGCCTATGCCCGACGCATCCTGTGGCATTCCGCTACATGCACTTACTGCCGCAATCCTATTGGCACGATCCTAACAATTAGCTCTAATGCCATGACCTTTCCTCAGTCTTTACTATGGCTATTATACCAGTATCCACTAGGAGACAGACAATAACAACATAGTCACTCTGAGTTATACTCTCTGTCACAGCTTTTCTTCTAATGGTATTGGTGTATGCTCATATTGCACCAATACATGGAATTTTGTGTCCACAACTTGCTTTTATCTTTTATTCTGCCAGCATTGTTTCACTTTCACCAGTCAGCATTGTTTTACTAGCTTTCACTTTCTACATCACCATTGTTTTACCCCAGCTCAGCTCAGTACAGTTATGTCCCCATGTGGACCTAGGATTGTCAGTCACAGCATTTGGTATCTTGCCATCAGTTTCAGTATAGAATAGTCTCTGTGTAGACTCAGGATCAGGATCAGTTTCATTTTACCACAGTTAACCTCAGTCCAGTTTTAGTTTTCATCATCACTCAGTTCAGTCCATCATTTGCTGCCACTAATTCCCTCTTCATATTTCTGCCAGCCAGTCTCTCTTTGTTTTACTGCCAGTTTCTCAACTACACACCACAAAAAGCGAGGAAAGTTTACCTACCTTTATATACATTTGCTTTGTATATATCCCAATACAAATATTAAGCGAAGTGGTATATGTTAATAAACAAGGTGTAGGGTTACTGTAGGTTATTATGTATTTCAAGGGTCCTCAGTCGGGATTACAAGGCATTTTAACTACAGCATATCTTGAGTAAGGTTTATTTAGAATCATAATGAATTGACAACTAGTTTACAATGCAGCAAAGCCCAAATCTAGTTCCAGACCCATCTCGTTGTCATCATCGTCACAAACGTCATCCAGTTCTGCCTCAGCATCATTGTCTAGCTCTGCATCCACCACGTCTTCATCTTCAGCCTCCTCATCAGTCTCTCATTCATCATCATCATCAACATCTGAATCCTCTTCTTCAGCATCTTCGCACTGGTCCCCATCTGCTTCAGCCTCCTCATCTGGCATATTGACCATTTCCAACTCATCTGATCCAGGTCTGTCCTCATCTTCGTCTTCGTCATCATCTTCATCCTCCTCTGCAGCCTCGCCATCACTATTATCATCGGAACAGGCCATCTCTACATCCTCCGAGTCCTCTGTACTGAATAAATCGCGTGGAAGATTGTATGCTTTGCAGAGATCATCACGAAAGAGACGAGTTGCGTCCCAGGTGCTCTGATGGCCAACTCCAAGACCGCAGTAACGGAATGTCATATCATGATCCACCCATCTTGAAACCAAAGATTAATGATAGTCAAAAAGAAATGAAGTCACGCACATGTCAACGGAGTACCGCTCATAGTCGTGATCATTTTCCTCAGGTCTTCGAGCAATTGATGGTGGTAGGAACTCCGTAGTTTGACCAAGCCTGTAGACTGGAAGTAGATGAACTGCGTGAATAATATCATCTGGGTCCAGGAAACCAAAGGCACCTGGGTCGTTTCCATCAACAAATCCAATGTGATGGGGACGCTTTGCAGTGAAGCCAGAACGATGGTCACTATCAAACCCATACCAACAAACCCAGGCAAAATCGACATAAAACACCTGTTGGTCTTCATAGTCACCGTCAGGGTCATTGTAGCGAACATCGGTGTGAAAAAGTCCAATGATTTGAGCGTACCAGTATGGATGTACTGTTTCTGCTTCCAGGTCATTAGCGAGAATGACAACATCAGAATGTGTGTGAGGATTGATGGAGTCTTGGTTGCGACGAACATCATATGTTGTATAATTGATCCTAAGAACCTTGTGGCAGAATACTCAGTCGTTGATGATGTGTAGTCGGCTTAACTGTTCTGGGGTAATCTCATTGCCCAGGTCAATCTCATGAACAAACAGTCGACAAAGAATATGTTCTTTGAGTTTCGGGATGAAGTCCTGTAGTAAAAAGCTACCATTAGAATGTACAGAGGAAACAAAGAAGGCCTCTTACAACCACGGCAAGATCTCCTTCATTCTCGGCAAGCCATCGGTGAAGATCAAGGGGGTAGTTCCTGGACAGCGACATCTGATAATGGCTTTCTGGATCTCCTTTGGGAAGCGGGTCCTTCTCATTTGGATGCATCCTAGGAGACATCTTAGATGAAGCCTTCAGATTGGATATACGCCCAGCAAGAATTCGTCGAAGTCATCGCTGGCGGCACTCAAGAATGGCTATTTGCTTTACATGGCCTCACTTGTTGGTCCGTGCATAGAACAGTTTGACTCGGTGATGCTCTTGCTCACCCTAGAGAGCATATTAATAATAATCACATAGGGAAACTCATAGTTATCACTTACAATCTGAGTACTATATGAATCAGTAGTCCCAAACCTCAGAATTGTCCACTGGTAGTCGCCAAGAGCATGGTTCTTGTATGTGAAGAGGTTGAAGGCTTTGACTGACTTGTAGATCCCACCAGTGACAGAAGTGGCTGCTGCTTTTTTCTTGGTTGTGCATATCAGTCGACGGACACGCACGGCCATTTCTGAAGGTGTCTCCTTTGTTCAGAAGTTTGGGCAAACCTTGGATGAGAAGAGCTGAAGTTGACAACCAAGTAATGATGTAACTGCACGTAGAACTTGAACTGTTGAGTCTGTATGCATGCGAGCTTTTGCAAAGGCATGCCACGTCGCAAATATGAATAAGGTGTCCATAACAATCGAATTGTCCTTGCTATCAGGCAGGAGTCCATCAAAACAGGGAAAAGAACACTGAGAACACACAATTAGTCAATGTACCTCGAACCAGAATGAAATAGATACCTGGAGAACATCTTCATAATCTCTCGCCGCAAACTTCTTCTGCCCTGAAACATCATTGCTGAATTTCCGGATGGTTGAACGACCAAATGTTGGTAGCGAGCGAAATCTATTCAATAGTTAGCAGCAGCATCAACGAGATTCATGATTAATGTATACATACCGTTTGTTCAATCGTTGAATGGCTCCTGGGATCTCATGGCAAATGTGAACAAGGTGAGTGAATAAAGATTTCCAGCTGCCACTCAGACTCATGCATCAGATCCGATACAAGCATTTGATAGTAGTTGAAGCCGTGTCATAATAAAGCTGTTGAAAATGCATTCTGCAAGGGAGAGTCAGCGATATGTTTGAAATGGTAAGTTAAATGTTTTTCTTACCCGATTTGCTGTGTTTGATCTCTTACCAAGGACATTCTCAATTCGTTTACTGGAAACTGCATATCCTCGTTCAAAGATCCATTTACGAACCATTTTGACCTCTTGCTGGTGCTGTTCACAATCAACATGAGCATTCCTTTGATGACTAGAGAGGTCCCATTTCATCCCCATATCTAAAACTTTCTCCTTAACAATGAGGCACCAGGGACAGAGACACCGCCCGAGGGATTTGATACTCGCAAGCAGGACTCTAACATAACTTGAAGTCAATCCCTGGGACAGTAGAACGAATCTGTTTGCTTTTCAGGGTAATCCGCAGAATATGTGAAAAATCGTGGGTAGACACGACGTAGGATGCCATCTGCACACAATAATGATGCCATGTTCATAAGCCTCCATAAAATCCGCATCTAAGAGTAGCTCCCATATTTTTTGGATGAGCTCACGCTTCAGGAAAGTGAGGAGCTCCTTTGAGGCAGGCGAACCAAATGTCTTCATGTACATGTCTTGAATATTATCCGGCAACTGAAGATATATGTTAGCAAGTTAAAATAACTAAGAAATGAATCATACAAACCACAGGAAAGTACACGAGATGATGGCTTTGAAAGAACAAAGGTAGCACTCGAAAATACTTTGACATTAGCCCGATGCCAAGATATCCAGGCCAAAGTGACGCCGTGCCAAAGTTTGTGAGACATGTCGAATCGGAATAAAGCATCATTGGCACCACTACCGTTTCCAACATGCATCCCGGCTCTGGGGTGATCTCGTCCTCCATTTCGAGAAAGACATCAGATGTATATGCCTCGCCGTACACCCGCTCTGTCCTGCCATCAGGGCACAGCCACATCTGCTTGAACCCTTTCAAATGGAAGCGGGAAAACGACTCATCTTGAAATGCTGAGCGAACAACGTCAAGCATAGAATGGTGCCAGACATCTGGAATATCAAGAGTCGGTGCCTCCTGCTCAGAATTATGGCAAACATCTTTCTGAGGAAGATGGAGTGTAATGTGATCATGAAACCATCTGTCGGTGCCATCCATGGGTACAGAATTTGTGTCTAGACGTTTAGCCTCTCGGTTGGCATCAAAGTTCTGCAAATCTGAAGAAGAAAAGTCTGGTGCCAGAATAACTTCTTGCACCAGATGGTTCAAGTCGTTTAACATCTTGGTTGTGGTCGAATAGAACCAGTGCATTAGTCGGCATATGGTTGTTACGGATTATTCATTTTCTTTTTCTTTTTCTTACTCAGCGTGATTACACAAGAACGATCATCACAGACTGTTTCTCACAGTACTATTATTAGCACACCCATTTGTATTTAAGTAGAGCCTCAGCTGGTCTAAACCCCAGCTTCGGCTAAGGTTTAATCTACCTAACATCGAACTCCGTCCTTTGTGACTATCTGTCCCATCGACTTTCATCGCCTTTGACTTGCTAGAGCGTCGTCTACCGAAGTGCGAGTAGCGACCCTAGTACGATCTAAGTCAATAGAGTTAGTGGCTAACATTTAGCCGAAGCTCGTCTTGCGTTGCCCAACGACTCACCGTTGCCCAACATATTCCCAATTATTCTTCTAATTGTCGTCACACTCTCCGTGCTGTGATTCCTTCTTAACGACCCACTCAGACTGGTCATAGTGACCATCCTCCGAGTCTTTCTCGCTTGCGCATACATCCCATCCCCAGTGTTTGCAGGATTACTCCTGTTATTCTGGGTCGGATTTCTGCACCATTACTGAAAACACGAAACCCTTTATTCTCGCCCTCCAGCTCGCCTCCATATTGACAATCCTATTGTTGATATTGACGAGCACCTCCGAAAATTGCGAAATCCTTTTGATGAACGGCTCCAACTACGAGACCGACCTCAGTCTGATTATCGCCCTTCTTATTGTCCTTACCATACTCGCTGTCTATCAGCTTGCATGGTCAATCGTCGACTTACGCCAAGGATAGATCCACTCACGGATGCCCTGGTCTGACTCCATTCTCGCCGTCTTCGCGACTTTTATACTCTTTTTCTTGTCCATTATTTTGTACCGACTTCGCCGCTGTCTTCAACAGAGACAAGTACGCGCACAACTTCCATTCCACTATGTTCCCAGCACCCCGGCGTATCCCCCGCCAATAATTCACATTCCCGTGGCATCTCAGCAGACGATAGGAGATGTCGAGTCCAACGCCTCCAGGGAACCTGGAGGATCCCTCTACACATCGTCGCGACCCAGCTCGCGATCCTCAGAGTCGAGCACCGACTCCTACAGAAGCGTTACCGACGAGTCAGCTGACTCAGTCGACATCACCGATACCCGGGGCGTACTCCTCAACAGAGGAGACTCGCCCATACCAGGCCTCTTCGATCAGTCTCCAGTCGAAGGCGAGTCAAGTCCCAACCGAGTCGGAGGACAAGGCACCAGGCCTCTGGACGAGGGCGAAGAAAGCCCTGACACCGAGTTCGAAGGGGATGACCTCACAGAGTGGGAGAGAACCCAACTCGATGACCTCTACCCGAACGAGGAGGAAAATGCGACCTATACCGGAGACAACTACAGCGGAAGGTCAGGAAATAAGTGGACGGATGCCGTCTGGCGAGGTGAGAGTAGGAGATACCGGCGCTCCCTTCCACCGTCTCCTTGCCTGAGCCGACGAGTGGGGAGCTTTGGAGCGAGTTCCCAGATTATGACGCCGAGGAACTTGGAACAGTTACCGCTTCCGAGCGACTTGCTGGAGTCTCCAACTGGGAGCCATCTGTCGCGTCGAGAGCCTTCACCGATCCGGTACCGGCCTCTCAGCATCCATGGCCCCTCCTCTATCACACGTACGTCGAGTCCCTCGGACTCTCTCGAAATGCCTGGCTCGCCCCAGAGATCGAGGCCCGAATGGAGCGAGGTAGAGCGCATGACGCACGCATTCGACGTGCCAAAGAGGACACCCTCCTCGGACCCGATGGCTGGTGGGACTTACCCCTCGAGCCTGACGCCACCGACGCCGAGGTGGAAAACCGAATCCGCGCCGCCGCCGTCTGATATTCAGGAGCCGCTCAAAGAGCGGGTACCAATCTTGAGGCCAGAAGAAGAGCCTGG